AAAAAAATTTTTCCTCACCAAAACTTCCATTTTTTTTTTTTTTTTTTTTTTTTTTTTTTGTTTCCTCTTGTGTGACATCAACAACTATGCTTTATTTTTCTATTTATTTTTTAAGGACTTTTTTGCTCTAGTGGCCTTAATCTCACAATAGATTGACAGGAAATGGGGTTGTGAAAACGGGGGGTCGACAGGCCAGGACTCAAACTCATAATGGCCGCTTTGAGGACTCCGCCTTCTCTACCTGAGTCACGTGCGCTACCACCCGTACCACAGCTGTGCCAAACCATGCCAAGTATAAAGACGCTTTAATTCCTTTCTTCTCCATTCAAACACTCATTTTGACTTTCAGCAACTTGTCTAGATGTCTAAATGCATAAGATCACTGCTATTGATTGGCAGATTTCCTATTTGTGTTAACAAGTAATTAAACGGTTGTGCCTAATAAAGTGTTGGGTGAGTGTGTGCCATCAGTCAGAGCAGCTTCATTTTATAAAGATTGACATTATTGACTAAATTTTTCAACTAAATAGAAACATATGTCTATGTGACATGAATTTCCCATTAACCATAGCAATATCTAGGTTTATTATTGGGACCTGCCATACAATGCATGGAAGGCATCCATTATTCTACCGTCAATAGAATGTCTCTTTTTTTGTTATTTATATTTCTTCTGTCACCATTAATGTGGCTTGAAATGCCATGAAGTATTAATCAGATTTTTAGTTTTGTGTTGAATGGGTGCTTTATAATATATTTACAACAAATGACAAAAAATAAAATAAAATAAAAATCATTTTCACTGTCTTGAGTATGTTTTTTTGGTATCCAAAAATCTGAAGTAAACATCAGATTTTTACTTTTTGCAAAATTTACTAAGCAGATAAGGAGTATCTCAAAAGAGCTTATGTTTTATAAACAATAATATTGCTCGTAATTAATTTTGTGTTAAGAGACGAGTATATTTTTCTGGTAACGAACTGGCACAAAGTATAAATTAGATTTTTACTTTTGTGTGAAATGGCTGCTTTGTAATATCCTTACAACAAATAATAATAATAATAAATAAACATTTTCACTTTTCTGCAAAACTCACCAACAGCAGTAAAAGTGTAAAAATGTTCATGCAGTGCATTAACATTAGCAGAAACATTAGCAGTGCACTAGTTTGTGGTGGTGCCTTTTCCGTAGCCTTTTCCCTAAAATAAGCTTTTTAGCATTTTTTTTATGATTTTTTTCTCCATGTTTAGCAAACTGAATGGAGGAAGTCAATGTAAGACAACATGCTAGTTATACCCACCTGCAGCATTTAACATAACATTAGCATTTTGACTCGCTTTAGATTTTGCACTAATTTCAACATACTGAATAGAGTTACTCAACAAGCTAGTGACTCTCCACATTGAGTACATTGTAGCTTACCTTAGACTTGGTGCTAATTTTTAGCATTAGAATACTGGGTTCTAACTGTATTAGAACAGTTAGAACGGGGGGCTGCCAAAAATTTTCACTTTGGCAGCCCCTCGTTTAAATTTCTTCAGAATTTTTCTAGTACATTTACTGATGTATTTATTTTTAAAAATACACATATCTTCAACATTTTAAGAATTTGATCACCTTACCTTTAAAATGATTCCATCCTGCAAGCTTTCTCTGTGCGATGCTCCTGCAGCTCTGTATAGCTGCGGCTGACTTAATCTTTTTGCATTTTTTTTTTCCTGTTATGCTCCAAATCCTTCACTATCTCAGTTTCTCACTCTCCGGGGCAGATGAGCTTTTTACTTTGCTGTCCGGCAATGCTTGTCTTGTTAAGTGGGTCAGAGCTGCCTTCGTAAAGCAGTAAAAAGGCAGGCTTGACCTCCACATTGCAATCATGAAGACTTATTGGGTCAGTGATTAGGCCTGATAAGAATTGAACCATCGGGAGCACAGGTTGATCCCAGTGAACCGACTATCGGGTAGCGAGGGGTGCCACAGTTGCAGTGTTTCCCCCCCAGGCTTTTTTCCTCTTTCAATCTCTCCAGCGGGACCCAGCTAACCTGTCGCTGGATTCAGGAATAATGATAGGCTGCTGAAAGGTCAGGGTGCACTAATTGAGTTGTAACGTGGTTAACGCTGAGGTGTTGAGTGCTCTCTTGTGTCTCGAGGTTCTGCAGACTTTCTAGGGAAAGTGGAGGCAAAGGGTGGATGCACTGTATTCCTGAAACATGTACCGCTTCAGTCAAACGATGGCACTTACCAAAGTAAAGTCAGTCGTTATCACCTTTCCTTTTTTAATACTGTTTTTAGAAAGCAGATGCAGCCTCACTGATGGTGCCCATGGGTTTTTGGACTCTCGTTTTGAAGACCTGAGTTCAGCTATCTGTCTGTTTGGGAAATGGAGCTAGTTTTACTACTGACTGAGAGCCAAGAAGCAACACAAAACTGAAGTGTAACAGCTTGGCAGTCTGTATACCCTACACTAATGCAGCTGACATTTATTTCCAATACAATATTCAATCTTATTTTATTTAGCTATCTAGTTTAATAGCTACTTAAAAACTGATGTAATGGTTATTAAAATGGATACTAAATAAGTATTTGTCACAGGTCAGAACTGATGTAAATGAAAACCAGTCTAATTATTTTATATAGTCTCTACTTTCTTCTTCTGTTGGTGTTTTAGTTTGTTGCTACTGTTTTGTTTTGTTTTTTTTGAGAACTTTTAGCAACTAAACCTTTCATAAACCTAACCATAACTTTGTTTGTTTTCGTCAGAAAATTCTTCAACTTCTGCCTGAGAAAATCTACAACAGATGGCAATTTCACAGTATAGGTATGTACTTGGACAATATGCAATATGTATGTTCTATTTATTTTTGGAGCTTTTCTAACTTCTGAGACATTTATAAATATAAAAGAACATCACAAGCACTCCGGAGTGTTGTATCTGGAAGGAAAAATAAATTAGCATTTGAAAATGCAAATAAGCACTCGATTTAAAATGTAATTTAGTTGAGGTGCACTTAAAATATTGCTGCTGCATACAATTTTTTTCAAGATGTAATAACAGTTCTTTTTGTATCAGTTCTGGTGGCTAAAACTGTTCACATCTAGATCAGTGTTGCAGACTGTCCGTTTCTGCGATGCGCCCCTTATCCCACCCTGCATTCACAGGGGATTTTCTCTTTCACTCATCAGTTCATGTGTCACTGGTCAAGTTGTGGTGCAGTTATTTTCACATTTGAGACAAGATAACTGCCATATTTTTTGTTATCACATTTTTACATCCATTTCCAGTACTGCTTGAAAATCTCTGCCTCCTGACAAATTCCCTGGGTGGCTGGAATGACTTTCATGACTTAGTTGTTTAGTCCCTTTCATTCTGAGAATTGCAAGGTCACAGACATTTTACACCGCTGTTTAGACACTTATGTTCTCAAGTCCACGAGTATGAAAAGATGAATTTACGCTATTGTGCATCCGGCATTCTGATGAGAACACCAGATGAAAAAAATATATAAAAAACACAATCATCTTTTTTTATTGTAGATCCTCTTGCCAACAGGTTATGGATAACCAGCATTTCTAGTTTTTACAATACCTGTTGCAATTTGTTCCAATGATTTTCCAATTATTTTTAGTGTTCCATGTGTGTAAAAAACATTATCATTCAATTTATTGTACTGCTAAGTTCTTGAATATGTAGCGTGTGTATGAAGTTCATAGAGTCTGATTTTTTTTTTTTATAAAAGAGCAAATGGAAGATATAAAAAAAATATATTCCATTACTACATGTCGTCCATTCATCCGTCATTTGTTGAATTTAATTTTTTCTTTCCTTTTTTACCTCCTCATACCTTCATCTCAGCCTGTTTCATCCATCCACGTGTCAGTCTGTTGTCCATTCATGGATTCCTTAGTTTGACTGTGCTTCTGGGAGCTACAGTCTAACTACTATCACTATATCTACCATAAATTCAGAGCAAAAATGCTTCTCAACATAATGCTGACACCACAAACCCCCTTCATAATATATTGAAATAATCAAAGTACAGTGACTCTAATACACATCCCTAAGAAGCTCATTGGTAAATAACCTAATTTTATGACTTTTTGCACCAGAGTAACTTGCTCTATTCTTCTGTTTTGTTTTATTTATTCTATTTTGTGATTGATAATATACCTTGCTACGTATTAAGTAATGTTCCAAATTAACATGGTCTAGCACCTACCCCTAAAGTCTCTCTTATTTGGGTCAGTTAAAATATGTTGCCCTTCCATTTTGTCCTCATAGTAACAGGGCTGCCTGCTGCCTGTCAAAACTGTACCCTAATTCACTCGAACCCCTTCTGGCTCGCAATCAGAGCCACGTCTCATCTGATTACAGAGGAGACGGACTGGCTTCATGGATTCGTTGTACTGCCAACTAATGTTAATTTGGATCGGAAAAATGTGGTGATGTGCCACTTGGCCTGTTCATTTGTCAAGATGCCCTTTCAAAGTCCATTTGTCTCAGTGAAGATGACAGCTTGTGGGGTTGCTGTGTCTTTGCAACTTTGGTTTTCAAAAAATATCTAAACGTGTTTTTTTTTCTTTCTTTCTTCTCTTTTTCAGGTTCTATTCTGAAAAAACTTCTGCACACTGGAAATTCATTTAAAGTAAGTTGTTGATTGTGCCTAACTCCTACATGAACGTCCAAATGCAGAAGCATTACTTTTCCTCCCACATGAGGTTTTGAAGATGAACTGAGTTGGATTTTGTGTATAAAATAAAATAATTTATCTTCTGCCTAGATCCGCTGTGAGGGGATCCGTCTCTTCCTGCTGTGGCTTCAGGCTCTACGGGACAATTGCGCCGAGGAGCAGTTCCTTATCTTTGCCTGTCTGGTTCCGGGATTCCCTGCTGTTTCCTCCTCCAGAGGACCCTGCACGCTTGACACCATCATTAACAACCCATCTTCTATCACCCTAGAAGGTGACTTAGATGCAGGCTTATTTTGCTAGCACAGAGTCCTTTTTGTCACAATCTAGTTCATATAATTATTTTTTGGATTTATTGTATCTTTTCGATCTGTACAGCCAAGGTAGTGCCTGAGGAGATCACCCCTTTGGTTCCAGCTGTGTCTGGAGAGAAGGTTGCAGAGGACCTGACTTGTTACTTTCTTGAAACACTGCTCAAGTACATGGTTATCCAGGTAATTAATAAAACTTTGGGTGTGAAATAACTCAAATATTTGTCACTTTCAATCCAGGAGAAAAAGGTAAGTGCACCTTCTTTAAAATCCAGAGTTGCAGGTATCTGAACATAATAAAACTCATCTGGTTTTTGGCGGCTTTCTAAATTATTTCAGTCGGACCTCAACTGCAAGAAAACATGAAACACATTTCAAAAAATCGTTTCTACCTCGACATTGTTCTTTTTTGTACTTGCTTTTATCTTTGTCCGTGGGGGCCCAACTGACATGCTGCCATATTCCTAATTTGTCACTGAAACACGTACGAGAGTTGCAGCTGTTGTTTACAGAATAATCAAGGTGTGCCTTATTAATCTCTAGCATTTCTGCTGCAAACACTCCATAGGACCTCCAACTGTGGAATGATGTTCTGTTTATAGTGCAGTGAAGTATGTTTATTATGAAACAGACAAAAAAAGAGCACTCTCATTAGGCAATCAGTGTTTATATGATTTAAAGTGCTTTGTGTGTGTTTTTCCTTTGTTTATATCCTCTCTGTATCTCACTGTATGCAGTGAGATACAGAGAGATACATTAGAAATCTGTGATGTAACGAGTTAATCTTGAGGCTCAAGTGGTGATGATTACAAATTTGACTACCACAATACACCTTGCTGAACAATATTCTGTTTAAAAGGTAAACTGTTTTCATTAGCATGATGTGCATCTTTTTGAGTACTTTGTGATAACCAGTCATTCTTAACCAGCATTTACTTCAATCATATTGTTGCAGAAAACTGCTGCTCAGAATGTTGATTTCAACCCAATTAAACCTTGCCTGCGTTTTGTTTCTTATGATGGATGAGCCTTGTCACGCAGACAATAAACGCTCGCTGCATGAACATTGTCTTGACCTTGTCTGCTTTTGTGCTGTTTGTCTGTTTCAGGCATCCAGTTTAGAATGGAAGAACAAAGAGAGCGAAGACACGGGCTTCAGATTTCTCTTCAGTCTTTTCAAGAAGTACTACCTTCCACATCTATTCCCCTCTTTCACCAAATTCACAAATCTTTATAAGCCTTTGTTAGGTAAGTTTATTCTTTCAGTACATGTGTCTCTTTGTTGTTGAAGCCTTGTAAAGCAACTATTCTCACATTATACATTAAACCTGACTCGGTGTGAGATTATCATGGTATGATGTTGGTGAAAATGTTAGTTTCATATATCATGCTGCTTAAGTAACAGTCTAAAAAATAAAATGATTAATTAAATCACATTATACTACAATATCTGTAATATTTATTTTACCCCAGTGACAGATGGTAAAACGACATAAGAGTACAAAGTGCGAAAATAAATGAAAATACAAAAGTGAATTCACAGAAATTTACAAATATGACTGTTACACAGACTCTCCTTATCTGTTAATTTGAAGGAAAAAAAAAACTCCAAAGAAGATTGTTTAGTTTTGCTCTCAGCAGCTGAACATGGCAGACTGCAATTGAAAATTCCAGACACATGGTCAGGGATGTCTGTATAATAATAAATAGAAAGGATGTTTCGGGCGTTTATACGCTTATTGGAATCCGACTCTTGGGGAGTGAGAGGGGGAATGAGAGGAGTATGAGGAAAAAGAGACAACTGTAGACGCAAATAATCGGATGTCGGTTGCAGTCACAGTCAAAACTGCAGGACTTTTCCCCACACATTTTCAGTCGCTGCTTGATGTTTGTTGTAGATTCTCTTTGGTTGTGAAAAAGCTAAATTGGCTGTCGTAAAGTTTGTTGCACTGAAGGATCACAGACCAAATGGTTTGAGCAAATGGGCAGAGATTTCAGTGCGATTCTTTCATGACTGAAGATTGAAGGTCAGCACTCTGCAAGAACAGAAAAAAAAAAGTTATTTCTTGCAGCTTGTTCTTGATGCATATTCTAGACACAATGTTTTACTTGGCCAGTGTTGGTGAAATATGAAGTGTGTGTGCTGCATTGGGAGAGACCCGTGGAGATTGCCTGGAAGTTCTGCCTTTTAGTTTTAAACAACAAAAGTGGAACATGTTTGTCATTTTCATTTCCTGGGAATTTTTAATAAAACATGTAATTCAAACAATTACAGCCCTAACTATGGATCTGGTGCCATAGGTCTGCCTTTCAGTTTTTATATTACCCTCCTTTGTTCTGTGTTCAGAACTCCCCCCGCTCAGACCGAAACCCTTGTATGTGCCGGTGACGAGGAACAACGAGAGCACTTTCTGCACCAGGGATCAGTACTTGGCACCCAGGGTGGCCTTCATCACCTGGCTGGTCACTTTCTTCCTGGAGAAGAAGTACGTCAACAGTGCTGCTGCAGCGCAGAGCGCCAAGAACGGCACTGAGGTCATTCCCAAACTCATCCAGGTGAATATGATGCCACTCTCTGTTCATTTCTCTTATTGTCAGAAAGAATGGAAGATTGTTCTTGGGAAATCTAACCATATAAAAGTGAATAGAGCAAGAAGGTATGCAAAGGGGGAAAAAATGTCTGTATTCTCTTTTATATAAATAGGGAATATGGGAGAGATGTCTTATTGTATGACCTACTGATTAGTAGTGCAACTCCTCCACAAACTACAGCATTCTTAAATTGTTTGATTACATTCTACTTTTTCCTTTTTAAGTGCTATATACATCAGAAAAGAAAAGAACTGTACATGCAGTCTAAATTTGCATTTAAGTAGAGCTGATGATGATTTAAAAAATGTTAGTATGTATTGTTGAAGCCAAGTTATTTACCTGTGAGGATCCTCATCTTTAACTTATGCTGACTTCTAATTTCTCTCCCCTTGTTTGTTACTGGCAGACTGTCACTGCAGGCGGTAGCAGCCAGGAGAAGGAGAAAGATAAGACTGCTGATGGGGATACTAGCGGACCACCAGGGGATACAGAAAAGAGCCACTCTAACAGCAGCACGCTCTCCGATCGAAGGCCCAGTGATTCCAGTTTGTGTAGCATTGAGGAGGAGCACAAGCATGTCTACGACATGGTGCACTGCATTCTGCTGTCCACAAGGGACAATGTTAATTTTGTCAATGAAGTCTTCCACCAGGTACAACAAATATCTGCAAACATAAGAACTATTCTCATATCTTGTACTTTGTCTCCCTCTGCTGGTCATATGTTTGTCCTGACCGAGTTACTTCCATTCTAAGAACCTCTCTGTCCGATCTCACAGGCCTTCTTGTTGCCGGCTTGTGAAGCCTCGGCAACCAGGAAGGTCATCAAAGTGTACAGAAAGTGGATCCTGCAGGAAAAGCCCATCTTCATGACCGAGCCTGACCCAACCACCCAGGAAGATGAAGTGGATGAAAACTCACAGCGTGTTCTCAGCACAGATGCAAGCATCATGCATGTAAAAGTAAAATTCACAGAAAGTTTCAATGTTGACAGAACGTTTGCCACATTCTTACGAACCTATTGGGCCTCTCCCTTTGTTGTCTCTTTGTTCTCGGCAAGGCTTTTGAGAGTCACGGTCACAAACGCTCGTCAAGCTGGGGAAGGACTTACTCGTTCAGCAGTGCCATCAATCGGGGTTTTCTCACTGAGGAGCAGAATAGAGACGTTAAAGCTGGCATGCAGCCCACACTACAGGTCAGTAATACTTTGGTTCACATGAAAAAATTACCTTGAGAAATAATTGTTTTTAGTGCGATAAACACCTGCCATACGATGGTGATCTGTCAGAGTGAACTTACATGAACAAGCAGGTGAACATGAAAAATGTCTGGATGGAAGACCACCACCCTTAATGGGACCCTATTATTATTATTTTCTTTTTATAATTCTTATAATTTTCTTGCAGTGATCAGTGAGTTAGCAGTATTTTTTATTACATTTCTAATCATGAGCTAATCTGAATAAATTAGTTTAAATTAAATTCTGTTTTTTTTTTTTTTAAATATACATTTTTAACATGTTTTTAAAAGGGTTACCAACAAATCTGTCCGCATACACACGTTACATATACCTTTATGTATTTGTGTAGGTTTTCCTGACCAACTCATCCAATGTGTTCCTGTTGGAGCCATGCCAGGACGTTCCCAAACTCCTGGAAAATCAGGTTGAAGTGTGCAAGAATGTTCTCAGCATCTATCGGCACATGATCATGGAGCACAGCATGACTACACAGACGTGGTTAGTAACTTTGGAGTATGTGAGTGATTTTCTTCGATGATTCTTTGGTCTGATGCCTTTTTGATCTATGCTCGTTCATTCCTCAGGGAGCAGATGCTGCAGGTGCTACTGAAGATCACAGAGGCAGTAATGAAGAGGCCACAAGAAAACCAAAGAAAAGACAGCTTTGCTGAAAGTTTAGCATCCTTGCTTTTTAGGGTAAAAGTCAATGTTGACCATTTTATTTAAATTCACTTGAAGTTTAGTCATTTTTGATTTTTAATCCACAGTTTCCTCATGAACTCATCTAAAAGTTACAGTAGATACTGAACAAGCTGAGTTCTTCTCTCTTGATTTTTTTCTTTTTTTTTTTTTCTTTAGACTATTATTGTGGCGTGGGTTAGAGCAAATCTCAGCGTATTTATATCTCGGGAGCTGTGGGACGAGCTGCTGGCAGTGCTGTCCTCTCTTACCTGCTGGGAGGAGCTGGTGATGGAGTGGGCCAGCATCATGGACTCGCTGACGGCTGTGCTGGCGCGCTCCGTTTATGGCCTGGACATGGCCAACTTGCCTTTAGACAAACTCAGCGAACAGAAGGTGAAAAAGCAGCGAGGACGTGGTAAGGGGATTAAATGTGAAAACATGAATATTGGGATACGATTTAAAAAAGTTTCAAACGACGCAGAGCCTTTCAAAAGTTTTAATGCCACTTTCAATTTTAGGCAAATGTATGGCTGTGATTGCATGCCCCAGCATTCGTAGCTCCACAAACACAATATACTGTTCTTGAAAAACATCCACATTTAAAATAGGCTTCTTCAGAATGCCAGTTACTTAAAAAAGTGTCACTTATACCTCTAAGCAACACGCAATAACTGCATTTAATAAACAAACGGTGGAGGAAATGGTAAAAATACCATTTCCAATAAATAATTCTTATCACAATCCACAATTTTTCATAAGTGATAAACGACATGATGACGACCCCTACTGGTTGTAAATGATTCTTGTACACACTTCATTGGTATGAACTACTTTGAATTTGTTTAGTATTTATCAATACTAAAATACTTTAATAAAATACCCCAAAGTTTATTTGTAATGTGACAAAATGTGAAAAACATGAAGTGAAATACGCTGGCAAGATAATATTTAACTTTATCCTCAAGCGATATAATTTTGGTTCTTTTAAACTAAACTTTGCTTCAATTCAGTTGTATTAACAATAACTGTGTGTTTGGTACATTGTACTTAGATTTAACTCAAGGCTCTTGGTGAATCAGCACAACATTTGTAAAGCCTTTATTTGTGGAGATTGTAGTCTTTGTAGTATTATGCACCCTGCAGTAATCTCTCTTTGTTGTCAGGATAATCCTTTGTTCTGAATCTGAATTTATACCAGGAGCTTGTCCAGAACTGCCCACTGGCATTTTAGCCCTTTAAAACTCTCTCTTTGCATGCCAGGGGTTATCCAGGACTCCCAGAAGGCTGCTGCAGTTGCACGCTCGTTCTCACTGAGCTGGAGAAACCACGGAGAGCAGGGTGGGCCGGGAGCCCAGGAGCCCATGAGGATTCGCTCTGCCACTACCTCAGGAGCCCCCGGTGTGGAGAAAGCCCGGAACAATGTCCGCCAGAAGGCCTCTGGTTAGTATGATCCACGGTCCACTAGCAGCTCCACACCACTGGCTTTTATAAAGCTCTTCCCACATGTACACTGTTTTACAGCACTATCCAGAAATATAAATCAACATTGTTGTCATATTGATTCATTTGCAAGAGTTTCTTTCCTCAGGGAGGAATGATGGTGCAAGATAACTTACATGAATTCACAAAATGTTGGTGTACAATTTTTAATATTATGGACATTTTATCCAATACACACAAGATTAAAATCACACATTCAGGCACAAATATACACATACATTCCCACTGATATTTAGATAAATGTCTGCTAGCATGTGCTACAGATACCAGCTACTGTTTTTGTCCATTAGCACAGTCTTAGCACGATTCTACCTGGATACTGCGGTGCTCTGACCAAGATTTGGCTTTTGAGCATAGCCTGTGTATTTTCATTAGGACTGGGGTCTGAGCCAATCTGGAATTATAATCCAAAATCAGTATTAATGTGTGTTTCAGATCATCATCTGGTTAGAACATCTAGTTATGTCTAAACTTTATTTATCTTTTTATTTATCTAAAGTTTACGATGAACTAGGATATGCTGGAATACCAGTGAGATGATTCACAGTAAAGTCAGTTTAACAATTCCTGACCAAGACAAAATCCTGTCCTCCAAAATAAACGCTTGACGCACAACTGAGACTTTCAGCCAACCACATGGACCTTTTGAAGAAAAGTTTTATAGGCAGACAAGGAAAAGAATGAGCTACTTAGTGACGGTGACAGTGATGTGTCTTTGATGGGGTCAACTTGAAGTTTTCAAAGCTACGGATGCTATACCTCCTATTAACTATAGAGGTGCTAAAATCATGCCTTTTTATGTTTTTTGCCGTCAGCGGCGGTAGTGCGTTGTGCAAACTGGACATAATAATAAAGATGATGGATGACCTTCAAATTTTTCTTTGTCAACATGAGTGAATAGCTACAAAAGATCAAAGGTTGAAACTTGGATGAAGTTTCAGCACCACATTGAAACCAGTGGTGTTGATATGGATAAATCAGGCTATCGCTAAGCTTCAGGAACAGCCCAAATTTCAACCCTGTTGAAATGAATAGGAGTTTGTCTGTGGCAGGAATTTAACCAATTTAAATGATCTTTTTATCATGAGAGTGAAAAAGAAATCCAGCCAGAATTAGACAAGAACCTTAGTACTGTCATATAGTTTCTCTTATCAATTAATCTATCAATTTATTATCTTTGGTGTGTGTAACCCCTTTGTCCAAGGTAAATTTCTCACACGGAAGACGGATAAAGAGATGGATTTTACAACTTATTTAAAATCATCTAAATACTGATGGTTGTGTTTGCATACATTTGAGAGTGTCTCTGTGTGTGTGTGTTTGCATACAATTCACAATAAATTCAAACTTAACTGATCTTGTATATTTTATGATAATTCCAACCTCCAAAAAAAAGGATAGTTAAACTTCATTGTGCTTCCCGGTGAGGAGGAGTGTATGTAAACTTCTGACCAGCACTTGTGTGTGCATTGTATTTATTTTTTCGGGGGCAGACGGCACACCAAAAACCATGCACAGGGTTTATCAGACGTAATGATCTTATGTGGAAATCTTTGAAAGGGGCCAGGTGCCAGTTGGGATGCAATTCTGTAGACAAAGAGGCCAGCAGATGGCCCTCATTGTTTCTTTGACATGTCACTGGTCAGGGTCAGTATATTCCATGTCAGTTTAACTGCAGGCACACAGACCAATTCCCTCGACGGCATGCCAAAAATAAGGGTTGAATGCTGCAAACAGCTTTTATTTGATTGGGAAGTGAGAAGTAAATTATATGTTTAACTGATAGACTTGTCAAACGTTGTAATGCTTCCCTCTGTTTTTCTGTTTTGTTTTAATCCGGACGGTCAAACAAAAAGAAAAA